TTCTAAAAGTGTCCATTATATTTTGAGTCAAATTCTTACATTTAATCAGTGAATTAGAATAATAAGACATTTGGGCTGTTACCGAGCAAATTAAATCAGTATCAACAAAATTAATCATTGCAATCCAGACATAAGCTGCATCTGAAGTGGAATTTAGAAGTATTTCACACTGTTTAATATAAATAATGTAAATAATGTTTTGATATATTAAACATAAAACGTTGAATACTGATATTTGAAATGATTTAAAGATACTTTAAAATCAAAAAAAGAAAAAAAAGAAAAGAAAGATTCATTCAAGAACGAAACACCGTCATGTTGCTCAGAGACACAAAACAGCACTGTGGCTGTATTCGGAATGATTTATTTTTTTGCGAAATAGAGCAAAAACAAGCAATATCGTGTCTAAAACGTAAGTCTCTTAATTAACTTCTTGTTTATTGAATTCAATGTCACATTATGGTAATTGGTAATTTTTGGAGAAAAAAGGCACTCTTCGTGTGAAATTGATTAACTATATGAAGTGGATACACATTTAATCATGCCATAAAAAGAGCGCACTAGACTTCACGTAATGCGTGCACTCTGTAGGTGTTTTGAATGTTTTTTTTTTTGCGTCGTGAGAATATGGAGCAAAATAGCTCACTTGTGATGGTGTTACTTAACTATATCATGTTATGCATAAACTAAACATTTTGAATTTTTACCTCAGTGTTTCTTCTGAGTTTATGGGTGCTGTTACGCTCGTTTGTTCTGAAGTCTCTCACAAAGAGACAGAGTGAGCCTTAACAGCGCGACCTTGATACCAGAAATATACTATCCATTATCAATGGCTGTTTACATTGAATGTAGGCTAATAAAAATAGAAGAATCATTCTTCGATACTTCGCTGGTTATTTTTTGTTACTTATGTTTTAATCAGGCTATTTGTCTGGTCAGGCAGTTCGACCTGTATTCTGCTACTGCGATTCTCTCAGTAACTAACTATCGCAGAGAAGAAAAAAATCTTCGGTCTGTCCAATGATTGTAAACAGCCATTTAGGTCCGTCAGACTGAAGATATTTTAGCGGTAATGTGACCAAAAATATTTAAGACCCATCGAATCCGAATTTAAGACATTTTAAAGCCTTATATTAAGAAAACGTTAAGACTTTTTAAGGACCCTCGGACACCCTGTTAAATGACAGATTGTTTCATAGAGAAAGTCACAGTAACAGGGTTGACAATTTATTGTCATACTATTTTGATAAGTCTTATAAAATTACATTTAAAGTGCAAAAAAAAAAAAAAAATGCATGCAGCATTTACTTCCTGAAAGGATGATGATGTCAAATAACAGGGTTGCCAAGTCTTTTAATAATACATTCTGAGAGAATAAATATACTAGTTATATGTTGTATATTTTTTTCCAATCAAATGTGCACATTTGCTATTATAACAAAGGGAATTTAGGAATTTGGAAATTGGGAAAAATAAATAAAGCCAGTAAATGTGGATGTGGACCATCATTATTTACATTTCATAGAAGGAAACATAGATAACTCGTATCTAAACTGTAGAATATACAGACAGATAATACGGCTAATATTTTCTAACGTTTTTCTAAGGTTATTCTAACTATTCTAGAGCTGTCCGAGGTGCTGAAGGCCCTCATACATTTTGACTCATGTTTTTGTGCTTGTCCTCGTCTACATTTATCAAGGGTGTTGGAAGAGAATGTGTAGTTCAGTGTTGGTATGTTGGCTCCAAGGAAAGCTCAGAAATCCCTAGCAACCAACCTCTTGTGATCATGTTACAAGATGTACAAATGCAGCCTGATCTCACAACATCAGTAGCTCAGGTCCTCGTTGAGAGGCAGCAGCATCTTCATAAATGGGCTGCAATGCCTCATAAAGGGGATTCAATGCTACATTTGGACTATCTCAGGTGTTTAAACACAGCTCAACTTCTGGAGCTCCTGGAAGACGAGGAAAGGATGCAAGAAACTGTCAGACTCAATACAAAGGTATTGTTCAACACCAAATTACAAACAGACAAAAAAAAGTATCTGGATAATTTCTGGTTGTCAAATGTTAGTTAAACTAAAAAATGTCATTGAGATTAGCCGATTGCAAAAATTGCTCAGAAAAGTTAGTTTTGAGAAAATGGCAGATAGCATTCGTTTACAGATGATTAGATTTCAAAAGTGTCTTAATACATTTATAGTGTCATTGTACATGACTTACTTGATCTGAAGGACTTACAGTTACAGCATCTTCAGAGGTGTAAAAAGATCTTGATGGCCTCCAACTGTTGGCTTGCAGAGCAGAACTTAGCAAATCAGCCACATCTTAACAACTCTAAAAAGCTTTTAGCAGGAAAGTACCAGATTCTTGGTCAAATGGTGTCTTCAGTGCAACACAAACAGAGAAAGTTGGGTAGGTTCTTGGCAGGCTTGCAATATAATGCTTTTTTTCTAATGGGTGTCACTGTATAACTGATCTAATGCTTCTTGTGCCATATGCAGAAACTTTGCAGCAGAAACTCAGCCTTCGAGTGATTCATAAGCTTCTTAAGAAGAAGACCAATCATACCTTGAGTCAGTCTGAGGTACATCTGAGATATGGTTTCATGAAATGCAGATTTCAAAGATGTAAGCTTGCTTTCAAAGTTTTGATTGCGATTTCTGTCTTTCACTCTCCAGAATCTCTGGCAGAAGTTGATAGAAGGAAAACTTCTGCTGACAGATTTTGTGGAATCACTTCAAAGCTCTCAGACGTTGTGTCATCTACGCCTTTTTCAAGCTGAAAAGATCCAAAACCTCATCATACAAGCACAGATATACAGTCAAGATGCTGATTTTTGCTGTCTTGGGCATCATCCAAACTTTCTGCACTCACCGACCACAATCAATGTTTTCAGTGGCAGCGCTCCTGTTATCTCGCTGCCTGGTTTCCAGTATCCTCCTTTATCTCCAACATCACATCTTCCTCCTCTAAAGCCTCATGGCTGTGTCGACACATGCTCGACTTTGATATCCAAAAACGAGTCGCGCTCTGAGACTCGCCGATGGCCACAAAGACATGCTGCTTTACAGCCACTTGAGAAGATTCAACCTAACATTTGCCAGACTCCCTAGTAAAGGTGTGCTGGTGATCTGGGAACTCTGCAAAAAGCACTAAATTATTGTTAAAACCATTTTGTTGCTGAAATAAATCAACCAGAATATACAGTATATATCAAATATATTCTGACATATTGGACAATTGTTTTTTTTTGTTAGTTTTTTTTAGTTTTGGTCAATTTTGAATAAAATCAGTCAATTTGATTTCAGAAATGTTGTGTCCAATTTGTATTACAAAATAGTCAAATAAACAAATACAACCAAGTAATTATTACATTTGTATCACCAAAGCCTCCTACAACTTTTAAATTAACTATCAGTAATTTTACAACAATTTACCAATTCAGGGTCCACTCTAGGTAGTAAAACGTTTAATAATTGGTGATGGTTAATAGTTTTCATCTATTATATTTAGCCTAATTTGCTGCCATCTTCTATAACTCCGAGTCTGTCAGTTGATTCATCTGGTTTAGAAGGTCAACACGAGGAATAGTTGCTTGATCGGACTCATCTCTCTAATTAGAGCTCATTAAACGGGCTGAGAGGGTAAAGGAGAGCTTTTGTCTGACCGTTGGCTTCTTTTGTCTCTGGATAATACTTTGGTTACATCACTGTCAGTATGTGCTATTGTCTGCAGCAGCTCAAATTGGGCAATTTTCTCATCTGTCAGCTAAATGCTTCTAGCCTTTGAACAGCTCAGTCTGACAGACATTAACTGCCCCAGACAACTGACAACGTTTATAAGAGGTAAAACTAAATAGTGAGAATGGGACCTTCAAAAACAATTATCCGTAGATGGAAATACAAAATTCTTTATTACAAAAATAGTTAATTACTGTAAATAAACAACTTTTTTAGTGCTCACATTATCCAAAATTACTGTTAAAAAGAATATACCATTTTGTATCCCTTAAGAAATAAATACGCATCACAATCACATATTTTAAATATAAAAAACACAAATTAGAAGAACATACTAACTTCCTTCTGTAAACTTTGAAGCAAATATTTTTGCAATTCTTTTGGTCTCTTCACTTCTCTGTGATGGAGGGATGTTGGGTCTTGATCGAGGCATTCTTCTATATAGATTTCCAGGACTTACAGTCTCCTACAAAGAATTCATTTTAATACCTAAATCATAACAGGCTTAAAAACAGATAAATAATTTTACAAATAAGAAAGCGGACCAAGATTCATGAACTTTGTAGACTGTGCTAAGATTAGTCAAGGTTAGTCATTTTGGACCACATTTGAAAATGTAGTCGTTCATATAGCAGTTGCAGTTGAAATGGGTAGTTGAAACGGGCAGTGCAGTCCAAGTTTAAAATATCAGACTCGACGCTTACGTGGGTTTCCAGATTGAAGACACACAACAGGAACGAGCGCAATTGAAAATGGAAGCCTGACACTGTCAGTTGATGAGTTGATTTATCCGCACTTTAATATGCCATAGAGCATTTTACATGGATTTTGAGGCTTTTTAGGTCGTGTAGAATCTGCGATCTCTGACCCAGTTCATTTGCTGGTTTCCATGGCTGCAATACACTGGTTTTCACCAGCTTGCAACCAAGGGTGCTGAAATATTATTGGGTAAACTGGCAGTGGGTGGAAACACATGGACCAAAACAAAAACAGACATTCCGACACGGAACGCACATTTCAAAGTCGAATAACTGGCTGCAGCATTGTTTTTTGGAGAAACAAGTATGTGAACTTAGCATATTTCCTAAATACCTGCAAACATATTATGGTATTTTTATGCTTTAGCATACTCAAAAAATAATAATAATAATAAGACATACAGCGCCTTTAAATTTTTCAGGATTACCAAACAGTTGCAGCAGCTTTATTGTAGCTCAAAAAAATGGGAGAGTACTCACAGATTCTGTTGTTGCTGATGGAAAGACAGGTGCCATCCTCAAAGACCTCATGGACGCCTCCAGATGGTGAGCCGACAGGAAGAAATTTGGAATCTCTACAGATTCCAAACTGCACAGGGGGTTTAGATAAAAAATAACCTAGATATCATTTAATAAGCAGCAGTTTAGAACACTTGTCCCACAAACTTCCATTTTAAATTCCCTTCCCAGAGTTTTTTGTTGGTTTTTACAAACAGGTTGAGTTATCAACAGCATGCCACATATGCGGTCAAAAGAACTAGAGCAACAAATTACTTTTTGGGGTCATACAAAGCTTGGAAGGATACGGTTTTGCTGTCCACTCATCACTTTTATCATCTGTTTCTGAGCCAGACTCTGTACAGGGAGGCAAGTTTGATCTCTCATCCCTTTCTTCAGGCCCACTGTAACTTTGTTCATAATCTTCCACCTCACTGATACTAGAAAGAGCACCGTCTCCATCCAGACCATCTGGAGAAGGCTGCTGTTCCCGATGATCTGTGGCAATAGTGCCGTCACTCCTAAATGTCTCCAGATCAGTTTCAGATCTTACACAGATATCTGAATCAGAATCAACGGCTTGTGATTCTGCAGTCAATGACTGCGGGTTAAAGTCTGGAAGAAGTTCTCTGCTGTTTCTTTCCATTCCTCGAGTGTGGATTGTGTCGTCATGATGATGCACTAACTCCAGACTCTCCAGAGATCCCATATCTGGGTCAGACAGTAGGCTGGTCCAAGGGCTGGTTCTGTCTGTGACTGAAGTGACCTCATTGAGTGTTCGGGGCTGTATTAAAGTTTCCTCAAAATCTTCATGCTCATCCTCATCTCTTTCCTCTTCTTTACACTCATCTTCATCAGATGAGTGATCGCTGGAGCTGTGGTGGAGCTTTTCATTTTCAGGAGCAGCTGGTGACTGTCTAGTCTGTGCAGGAGCAGGAGAGCTGATGGGCGAGACTTCTTCTTCATCCTCCAACATCATGTCTGATTCTTTATGAAAGCGTGGCTCTATCTCACAGCTATCAGACTCTGATAATATCAGCTGATCAACCCCAGACGTTAAGTGCTCCTCAACCACAACAAGAGTAGCAGAGCTTTTATGGGTAGTTGGTGCTTCTTCTGTCTGGTGTTCACTTAAGCCTAATTTGAAATAAATGTAAAGTTAAAATGCCTTTTAAATAAACAGAAAACAGATAACAACTGATCTCACCTTTTATAATGTTATTGACCTCTCCCACCAGCTGACTGGACTTCAGTAGTAGTTGTGTGGCATCCGTCTCTGAGTCTCTGTGTTCGTCCTGCCTGGAGGTTCCTCTCAGCTCACTCAGCTTTGGGAATGTTGGAGTGGACAACTTTCGGCTGAAATACCTTTGAATATCATCCAGCTCACTGAGGTTTTAAGCCGTTAAGGTTAAGTGTTATCACTGTACCGTCGTGATGTAAAACATTTTGTTTTATGTGGATATTGGAACGCGAGTGAAGTACATAATAAAATAATTTGCCAAATTTCAAATACATCGCGAATACGGAAACATTTGATTTTGTGTGGAA